GCCCCAGGAGCCGAGGTGGGCGAGGGGCCGCAGGGCCTCGGCAGCCCGCGGGGCAGCTGGGCCAGGTCCTCCTCCCCGGAGGTGGGCCCCCCCGCCGTCGGTGCGGCGCTGCTCCTCCGACGAGCCCTCCTCCGTGCCCCCAGCCTCGCCCACGCTCCTCTGTGCGCTCCTCCCTCCCCCCCCTCCCTCCCTCCCTCCTCCATGCTCCTCCCTGCTCCTCTATGCTCCCTTCTCCTCCCTCCTCCTCCTCCTCCTCCTTGCCCCATCGTGCTCTCCAGTCGCCACCATGGTCTTCCTCCGCCTCCTCTTCCTTCCTCTTGGGGGAATCGTGATCGACTGGGAGGGGGACAACGAAGTGGACATCAGCGACTCCTTCGAGGGGGAGCTTTTCATCGATGGTTCCTGTACTCGTTTCCTGGTCGGGGAGTTTTTTAACAGAGCGGGATGGGCCATCGTCCTCATGGATCGTGCGACGGGGAAGGTGATCGTGCGTGTGCATGATCCAGTGTGGGCGCCTTGCCCGCAAACACCACAAGCTGCCGAATACCATTCCATGTCTGTCGCTGTGCAGTGGGTCACTGGCCCAAGTGTTTTGTTTTCGGACTGCCAAGGGTGCGCGGATTTCGCTTCGCTGCTCTGCCAGGAGCCAAAATATCAGCTCAGCGAGCTATTGTTAGCGGCGTGGCCCAGTTCGTTCGCGAGCGCTGGCCCATGGTGCGACTGGTCAAAGTCAAAGCCCACAGAGAGCTGCAGGCCGCCGCTGACGCTGAAGATCGGTTGCGCATGCTCGGCAACGACAGTGCCGGCGCGGTGGCTGAGCAGGCGGCATCCCTGCATCCCTTGTCGCCGTTTCTGGAGCAAGAGGGCCTTGCTCGTGCCTGCGCCATCGCGAGAGCAGTTGACGGCCCTGTTTTCTCCACCACCACCACCACCATAAGTTTGAAGGGGGAAGGAGGAGGAGGAGGAGGAGGAGGAGGAGGAGGAGGAGGAGGAGGAGGAGGAGGAGCAGCAGGAGCAGCAGCAGGAGGAGGAGGAGGAGGAGGAGGAGGAGGACCCCCTCCCGCTCCTACTTATGGAGGTGGTGGAAAACAAGCCCACCAGCAGTGGGTCGGTCGAGGGCGAAGCTGCGCGTCCCCTGGCCGCGTCTCTCGCTCGGCTCTGACGCTGAGCGAGTGCCCGCTCCGCCCGGGGACGAGCCGGCGGGCGGACCGTTCGCCCCTGATCAGTGGAGCGGGGTGGGCAGCCGCAGTGGAGGCTCAGGCCAGGAGGCACCCTGCCTGCCTCCAGGGTGCCCTGGGTCTCTTGGGTTTCGATGGGTCTCTTCGCTCAAGAAGATGAGAATAGGAACAAGTACCCAAAAGGGAAAGCGTGGCGTCCCCGCGCCAAGAGTCAGTGGACGTCCTGGGGTCTCAGGGTTGGGTCTCTTGTGGGAGCTTTCCTGTGGACTGACCTCCACTGTACTGGCAGTGCGCGTCGTGCTCGAAGGGCCGGCGATGGAAGTCCTCGGAGCCACCTCGGAGGGAGATGCTCGACGGTGCGGAAGGTCTCTCATGCCAGGTTGCTTTCTCCTCCTCCTCCTCCTCCTCCTCCTCCTCCTCCTCCTCCCCTCCTCCTCCTCCCCCCCCCTCCTCCCCCTCCTCCCCCTCCTCCCCCTCCGCCCCCTCCGTCCCCTCCTCCTCCTCCTCCTCCTCCTCCTCCTCCTCCTCCGCAGTTTGTCGTGTTGCTCGACTGCTCAGATGGATATGTTCTGTGCATCTGCCACAAGTGCGGGTGCAGCATGTCGGGGGGCCAACTCAGGAACCTCGACAAGAAGTGCGACGCAAAAATGGGCGTCACACATCAGACCGTGGAGGATGTTGACCAAGGGACTCCACCCTGAGGAGCCTGGGGTTACAGTCGATGCCACCGTCTTTGGCCACTTGTAGTGTGCGGCGTGCTGGCATAGTGTGCGGTGCACCGTTGGCGCTGTCTTCTCTCGGACGTGTCTGGGCCATCCGTTTGTTTATGTGGGCGTAGTGGCCCGTTCTGCTGGTCCCGCAAGCTGCTCGCGCTTGTGCTCGGGCCTGGCTCCGTTCTGGTCTGGCGTTTTGGTGTTCCTTGGGTGGCCACCGCGCAGGTCAAACCTGAACTGTCCGTTGTGCGGCATGGTCGTGCTTTGTCTCTCTGACCGTCAGGGCCCCCCAGACTGGCCCTAGCTGCTAGTCTCGACGTGCCTGCAAGCTGCGGATTTGGGTGGTCCTGTTGGGATCGGCCGACGCGCCATGCGGTCGGTGCCGTGCAGACGCCGCGCTGTTGGAGCCGAGGGTAGAGCCGTGCGGTGGGACGCCCACAGCTGGCGCTGTGCACACAACAAGCGGCCCCTCAGAGCGGCGCTCGCCGAGGCAAAGACTGTGCGTTTTTGCTCGCGTGGCGGCCGGGTCGCCCCTGCTTCCAGCGGTGGCAGGTTGTCGCTGGTCCGTTTCCGTGTTGGTCAGGCCGTCTGGGCTGTCTCCCAGGCCGGCCTCGCCAGTGCGTCTTGCCGCGCCTGCGAGCTGCGATGTTGGTTTTGCGGCCTGGCGCCAGTGGGGTTCGCTGCACCCGCTGGCGTCCTCTTCACGGCAGCTGTCATGAAGCTGCGCCCCCCAAGCGGATTGGTGCAACGATTTTGTGTTTTCCCGAAGCAAGCAATATTTGATTTCCAAGTTGTTCGGTTTTTCTTTGTTCAGCTCGCGAGGGGCTCCAGCTGAGCTGGAGCCCCCGCGCGCCAAAATGGATCCCGCTCCCTCCTCCCGCTGCTGGAGCGGGCGAGACCTGTTTCCGGATCGGGCGCAACCGGCTTCCGAAGCGGGCGCCAGGTTGCTTCCAGAACGGGCGCAGGCTTCTTTCCAGATCGCTGGATTCGTTGTCGGAGCACTGGGATTGTTGCCGGAGCGCTAGGGCGGTTTCTGGAACTCCCTCCTCTCCCTGCCTCCCTCTCCTTTCTCCTCCGAGTCTTGTCTGCCAAGCCCCACTGAGCGCGCCCTTCTCTCAAGCACGGGTCGCCCCCCGCTCGCTAGTGCGGCTACCACCCCCTGGAAGCGCCGATCGTGCTCCGATCCCCTCCTCCTCTTCCTCCTCCTCCTTCTCATCATCATCAGCTTCTGGAGCGTAGGCACGCCGAGGCCAAGGAACTAGACCTGGGGCTCTCCTTCTTGATTCTCATGCCTCCCTCCTTGTCCGTCTGATTACGCCTACTTGTTGGACAATACCATAGGATTAGATCACGTATGTTGAAAAAAAACTGCGTGCCGCTGATTTCGGCTCTGCCGCAGAGCGCTTTCCTCGAGACAGGGTCCCTCCCAGCCATGGAAGTGTTTGTTGACACCATGCTCTTTCCAAAAACCATCCCAAACTGGTCCACAGACTCCATCCAAAACTCGTCCCCCATGGATATCTGACGGTCCCAGAGCCCAAGCCGGGCCCGCAGAGACCGACATCGGGGAACGATCGTTGAGCCAGTGTCGAGCTGCAGCATTCGCTTGCGCCATGCGCGCGCCGCGTAATTATTCTCATGCTGTTTACCGTTTGAGGCGGCGCCCTCGTGCCAGAACTGCCCGGCCTCCATGGGCCAGTTGTCTGGTTGGCTTGCTTGCTCTATTTGTATGTCGCCCGCGTGTGTCAGTTTGCTTGGTTTGTGAGCCTGTTACACGGGTCGGGAGTAGGGGGTGGTTTCTTTCGAAATACATGTTGTTCTGGTGCGTTGCGTAATCCGATTGCATTGCGATTGCCAGTTCGCATCGTAACGACATTCGTTCTTCGTTGACACTCAGCAATAAGTTCAGGCACGATCGCTGGACACTCTGCACTGAGAAACAGCAGTAGGTGGAGTCGGGTTCGCACAACTAACACAAGTGGACAAATCCAAGACCACTCGATCCAAACGAGGGATCAGTTCAAGCAGTCCAAGAAACCCCAATGGGGACAATATTGGGCACCCCGATGGCGGCCTTTGGGGTCCCTTGGGTGTAATGTGGAAGCTGACGTCTGTCGGGCCCTCGTGGGAGCCGTGCGGGCCATCGGTGAAAAAATAGGCAAGGTTTGAAATGGTCCAGTTGCTTGTTGAATAAAATCAGGAGGGGAAAAAACACAGACACTTTTTAATCGTCGATTCCCGAGAAAATATGGGAAAATATGGGAAGTGGGGGGGAAGACAACAACCCAGATAATATACGAACATGTGGGGAGTCCTGTTATTTGTGTGTATGTATGTATGTATGTATGCATGCATGCATGCATGTATGTATGTGTGTGTATGTGTGTATGTATGTATGTATGTATGTATGTATGTATGTATGTATGTATGTATGTATGTATGCATGTATGTATGTATGTATGTATGTATGTATGTGTGTCTGTATGTATGTATGTATGTATGTATGTATGTATGTATGTATGTATGTATGTATGTATGTATATATGTATGTATGCATGTATGTATGTATGTATGTATGTATGTATGTATGTATGTATGTATGTATGTATGTATGTATGTATGTATATTTGTATGTATGTATGTAAGTCTGTATGTATGTGTGTGTATGTATGTGTGTGTGCGTGCGTGCGTGCGTGCGTGCGTGCGTGCGTGCGTGCGTGGGTGTGTGTGGGTGTGTGTGTGTGTGTGTGTCAGGGCTCCTTCATGAAACACCGTTCGGGTGGGCTCTCGGAGGACTCTCTTGGGATGCGGCTGCCCCGAATGGCCACGCGCTGGAGCGGACCGCCGCGGCCTCGCCGCCGACGGAAAAGTACTCCGTGATGGGGAGGGGCTCGGCACGGGATGCGGCCACACGGCCAGCATGGACTCGGCGGAGGGTCCTGACATTCTCTCGTCGTGAGAAGCCTCACGACGAAAGTTTTTTGCTCCTGCTGGGCCTCCGGGGGCCTCACTTGGGCCGCGGGGCCGTCAGACAACGGCTCAGGAGGAACAGCCAGTCCCGGGGAAGGGGTCCAGACCTCTGGGGAGCCACGTTGCGAACAGGAAGCACGAGGGAGGATGTCCGGGGCATGGGCCTCCCCGCTCCTCGTTCGCCTCTTCTCCTCCTCTCCCACCTCCTCGTCCGTGACCGCCCGGGCTCAAACTCTCTGGCGGGAGCGCTCTGCGTTTTCGACCCTCCACAGGGCCGCACACCACTGCCAAGGGTGCAGGGAGCGCAGAGAGGGGCGAAGCAGCTCGAGGAGGCCAGGCCGAGCCGCTCGCGCGCGCGCGCCAAGCGGCGCGCGGCGGCCCCGGCAAGAGCCGATGGAGTCGCCCACCGCTCGCCCGCGGGCGGGCGCGCAGGGGGCGGCCCCCCGGGCCGTGCAGGCCCAGGCCCCGGCCGCAGAGGAGCCCGGCGCGGGCAGCCCTCCAGGAGCGCGCAGGGGCCGGGGGAAGAGGGCGGCGCCGCCGCCCCCAGACATGGCCAAGTTCGATGCGATGCAGGCGCGCCAGGGGGAGCCCTTCTCTCTTCCCAGACCCCCTCGAGTCATGAAGAAATCACGACGGGAGGTTTTTCCATATTTGCGGCTTTGGGGAGCCCCTGCCGGGCCTCGGGGCCGTCAAAAAACGACTCGGGAGGAAACACCGGTCCTGGGGAATGGGTCCAAACCTCTGGGGGTCGACGTCATGAAAAAATCATGACGTCGGGGGTCTGGGTCTCTTGTAGGGGGGGAAGTGGATTTCCTGGGGAACCCTTCTCTATTGCAGGTGGGGGGCAACCAAGGCCAGCTGCTCACCTCAAACCCAGGTTTGAGGTGGGTAGCTGGCCTTGTTTTTTGTTTTTTTTCTCGCGGGCGAGCGGGGCTGGCCGTCTGTCGAAGCTCGAGGGAGAAAAACCGGCATACATATACACTTGTGGCGCTCCGCGCGGATTTCTTGGATCCGCGCTCGGCCCCCTTGGCGGCACCTCCGGCGCCGCCCCTGGCGCGCTCCGCGCGCCAGGGAGGGGGGTCCAGCGCAGATCCAAGACATCCGCGAGGAGCGTCAAAAGTTTATGTTTAGACCGTTTTTCCTTCGTCTAGAAACGGGTCCTGAGGGAAACGACGGGTCCTGAGGTTTTTCGCAGTTTTCGGGCCCTCGGGGCCCTCCATGGGCCCCGGGACTGTCAGGAAACGATCCAGGACGAAGAACTCGTCCTGGGGGAAGGCTCCAGGGTCCAGGACCCGTTTCGCTGAGGATCCGCCTTCCCCCATGCTAAGCAGGCGTACCAGTACGGCATGATGAACCCGTACATGGCCGCGTTCTACCAGATGGGCTATCAGATGCCCCCGTGGGGCTTCGGCATGGACCCGTCCGCGCAGCCGGCGTACCCCGGGATGTACCAGGTGGGCTCGTCGGGCTACCTCGGCGCGGGCGGCAAGGGCGCGGCACAGGGC